GATGTTTTGCTGTACTGGTTCCTCACCCTCTTTCGGAACAGGTCTGTGAAATGGTTCTCATCCTCCAAGACAGCTATGTTTATCAGCGGAACAAGGCCGATCCGGCAACGATGTGACAAGCTCAGCTGAGAAAGGCATGCACAACCGTGTCTCGAGTCAGCCCCTTAGTCCTGGTTTCTCACTTTGGTTCGGAACAGACCTAGGCCTAGGCTTCCCACAAGGGCTGAAACGAGGCAGGACCACATGCTGCTAGCGCACTCGTGAAGGAGGCAGCTGTGGGAGCCAACTTCCGGGACTTCATTCCATCCAACCTGAAGAGCAGACGGCGGAAGTGCGGCCGAGTTTCAGCAGAGGGAGTCTTGCAAGAGACTCCCTATGAAAGATCCCCAAAGGGGTGAAGCATTCTACTACTGAACACAACTGCTATCAGTGCTCTCGCGGTCATCTTACGCACTCCGAGCAGGTGACCAGAAGAGGCATCGCTCCGCGTCTCTAGCCTTGGCAAGGACTGTCGAAAGGCATATCCATCAAGCACATCGCTCTGCATCCCGATCAAACGTGAGGGAGCCATATGGAAGCACCATCGGTTGACAGGATCCCCAAGAACATGTGTGAATTGACAGAGGCCCTTGCTCTTGCCCAGGCCGTGATAACAGAGTTCCTGGCAGAGTATGGGACGGGCTAGTGAGTCTCCAGGAGCTGCAACGGAATTCCAACGACTGCAGCTAGCAAACTGAAAGATGAATCATGGAGAAGAGAGCAGTCAGCTCAAACAGAAACGTTTCTGCGAGTTGTTGGCAAGTGCGCAATTATGTATGAATGTCTGCTCAGGCTCAAGACCAACGACACTGGTGAGTTACAGATGAACTGCTTGGAACATGTTGGGCACCATTTGCCATGTTGCAAAAGCTGCTTGGGCTCACCTCTTTGTCAAGCCCGTAGTTTTCCGAGACAGCAGCAATTTTTGAGACCCCACAAAGCCACAAAAAAACTATGGTTTCTTGCCAAGTCACAGAAGTACCACATCCGCCTTGAGGACAGCTTCCGCGCGACGAAGCCATGACTCAGCAACCTGGCCCGAGAGGGAAAAGGAACGCAGCAAAACCGCGACCGAAGCATCGCCACAGAATCTCAGCACAAACCACGCTTATGTTCTAGATATTGCTCACCTCTCTCCAGACTCTCGCAGAGTCTCAGCCATCCGGGGATGGGGGCTCGCTCGGCTCGTGGCCTCAGCAGGCTGCCCGGCACGAGAGGCCGCACGCACCAGCCCAGTGAAAGACTCAAGGCCGGGATCCAGCTGCAACGCCTGCAGACTGATAGCAGCATTGATAATAGGAGCAGCTGCAGCAGAAAGAGCAGCAGCAGCAGCAGCAGCAGCAGCAGCACTAGTAGTAGTAGTACGTAGTGGTAGTGGTAGTGGTAGTGGTAGTGGTAGTGGTAGTGGTAGTGGTAGTGGTAGTGGTAGTGGTAGGTAGTGGTAGTAGTAGTAGTAGTAGTAGTAGTAGTAGTAGTAGAAGCAGTAGTAGTCGTCGTCGTTTTAGTAGTAGTAGAAACAGTAGTAGTCGTCGTCGTAGCAATAGCACTAGCACTTGCAGTAGTGG